GCAAAAGTAAGACGAGCTTTTACGGCCACGCTAAACTTACCGATATTTCAAAATCCCGTTAGAAAATTCATCGAGATCCTCTAATGGCAATGACAAATGCTAGAAAGCTGAAATTTCACGAGGCCCACAATGCAACACCGGCGGCTCAACCCATGCCCCTCTCCTCTGAAAGCAGGAGATCTTTTTTTCAGCATGGCTGCACATACCAAACTGTGAAGCACTGAATATTGTTGCTGCTAACAATCTTACTACTGCATAAAAACTGTACGAAAGCGCACAATCACGTCGGCAATCCTGGCATACACCGCCAGTTATTATAATTTCAGACCTAATGGCTGGATTATAATTTCAGACCTAATGGCTGGCCAAGAAGCACATGTGTACAAATATGCCGATCGCTCAGAGCTCTACTATCAGTGTCAGATCAGCATAACAGTGAAGGAACCGAATACCGACTGCCCACGACCGCAGTGTGCTGAACCACAAGGGTTTGGAGCGGTGAAATCAGCCGCTGCACCAGCACCAGCCGCTTTGGCACTCGCACCGCGAAATTTACGCCTTATCAGGAAGCGATCCGTCGATTACGATAACACGGTTGATGTGAGGACCGAATTTAGTGCTGTTGATATCAGCGAAGAGGTATGCGTGTTGCAACATTTTTAAAATGGCGCAAAAAATAATAATTCATGGGATCCAGGTCGTGTGTTTCCAAAAAATCTTGGTGGTTCTCGGATTTAAATGTTTTCCTTTCTCACTCTCATCCCTTTCCCTCAGTTTTATCTCGCTGTAAAAAACTGCCACACATTCTGCTTGAATGAGTTAAACTTTTCAGCGCGCATATTTCTTGAATAAAAACGAAAAAGTTTTTTAACGGGTTGAGGCTAAAAATTTAGAACAAAATTCCAATACTGATAAGGTGCATTGTACCTGCAACGAAAACATGCTACCATACACACAGCGAGTTGGAAACTGTACTTTTATATCGCTTTTCTACGGATCCGCTTTGTTCTGGTTTTATAGCTAAGGGATGAAACATAAACAGATTTTCTCATGATACTGATTGGTCTGTACGGATTATGTTTCTAGGAACTGTGAGCCCAGTATTTCACCGTGGATCTATAAGTATTTTCAATCATCATACGTATTCACCGGGGTCTTCCCGCATATCTTAAGCATCAAAACGATACGCCTGCTGCTTTCATAAGAAATGAGATAGACTCAAAGGTTTTTTTTAGGTTACTTTAATTCCCGGAGCCAATGGGAACTGTTATTTTCAGGATCCGGTTTTGCCAGCTGATGTGCGTTACCGGAATCGGCTGCCAACAACGATCCGACGTCCGATCATTTTGTCTTATCGCCAGTCCCACGGTACTGTGTGTATTGCACCGCACGGTATTTTGCTCATCGCCTTTCTTGGCGCTACATTCAGTGTTGCCTGCGTACTGTTTATTATTTTTGTTATTTATCCAAAAAACTCCGCAAAGTTATGAGTTTTTCGGCTTTGGCGCCCTAATTTGATCTATTCTAGAATACCCTTTTGAAAAAGATCTCGACTTTTATCTAAAATAGTTTTGCTTGCGGGCATGAAAAATTTCCGAAAATTGTGTGTAGAATTTTTGGAGAATCATTAACTCAAATTTTTACTACTCGCCTTGAGCGGGGCCCTTTTTTACAAATTGAGTATGGACAATGAAGCGCAAGAGCCGGTAGTGTAATAAGTAAAATAAAAAATGATTCGAAAAATGCGAAAGCAGTGAAAAAGAAAGATTCAGTTTCCATCCGGTCAGTATTATCTGCAAAAAGGGGCTCCGCTCTCGACAATATTTAATAACTTCAGACTTAATTTGCGTACAAGCAATAAGTTTATAAAGGTTCAGATTTTCCATTCCAAATTTTCTTTGAAATAATTTTGGCTCGGTAATCGATGCTTGTTACTGATTTGCTTTGTTACCAGTATTACTTCAGACATCAGTAATTTAATTCAATAAAAACACAGCAATGAGTGGAAATCAATATTAAGCTTTCTCGGCCAATAAATTTAAAAAAATTTGGGATGGAGAGTTTTAATAAAGGTTTTTCTTTGAGTTTTCCTTTTTTTGCTGTATTAGTTCATAATTAAGCTACTTTCTTGCTCATTATTGTGTTTATGCCAAATGATGCTTTCTGTGCGTGTGACATTTGCTATTTATAAGATTCAGTGGGTGTATGGTTATCGCCTTGCAGCGGAGGTAACTGGCCGGTTAGCTACACTATTCCTTAAGTGCCTTCGGCACTACAGAAAAACTCTCACGTTAAAGCCAAAAATTCTCCTCTCTTCGTCCTCCATCAGAGGAGAATCATCCGGGAGGTAGCTGAAGTAGTAGCAAATGCCAATAGCAACCACTCGCTGACAAGTCTGTTGAGGGCGTTATCTTAGTGTCTCTTGCCATTACGCCGTTCTGGCAAGAGACGCAATGAAGCTCACAGCGAGTTAGAAAGAAGGATTAATGCAAATGTTAGAGCATAAGAAAATTTGATGCATTTTTGTAAATTAACACTGAAAAGTCATCTACAATCATATGCGCTCGCACGAATTTTTTTTTTGGATCCCAAAAATATGGAATTAAGCTCACTGTTGTGTAACAACAGCCCCTGAAAGCTTTGTTGTCAGTTTTATGGATAAAAACTTGCCAAATCGAGCAGCATTTGATTGTATATTTTTAAATAAGCCTGTGTAGTATTTTCCAAAAAGCTCTTTTTTTGTTAAAAACTATGAAATTATGATTTTCTTACTAAATTTTTGTTTTATGATTAATGAAAGAGGAGGA